GCTGTGTTCCTCCAGCTCCACACTGTTATCTCTGACTCCAGCATCAGCAGTTCTTACTATCTCATTTAGAGAATAGTTCTGGATCCTGATGCTTAGGGAACTGGAGGCGATGGCTGTCAGTACGGGAGCAAAAAGGACAATTTACCAAGGCTACAGCTAGATAAAGTTAGAGACAGATTGGCAAGAGTTAAGGTTATGAAGGGACTGTATGGTGTTTTATACCATTCATATGAGCAATATAATGTTTGGAAATGATTTTGATATAAGACTTTAGGTTTGTAATTGAATGAATATTTATACTAAACATTTGTCCACATTATCTTCCTTCAGCATACAGAAATCTGGGGGAAAAAATCTTTATAATTCAGCCTTCTGCAGTCCGTGAAGTTAACTACTCTTTGCTGAACTCAAATGAACTGTCGAAGAGGGAGATAGTCTACAAATCTCTGGAAAATTCCTTCCTTTCTCCCAACGCAAGCTTTCTTTGTGTGTTTCTTAGTTCTGCTAAGAATATCTACAACATCGACAGATATTTAGCAACATCATCTATTAATTTATTTCTGCACAAGAATCACATTCTAATGGTGCACTTTCCCACTGAAACGTGCTAATTCTAGTGTTTCAACAACATTTTCATCTCAATTGGAAGATTTCAATAATGATATTCCATATCGAACCAAGTCCTGTGCCTCCTCTGGAATTACTTAAGTGATTCCATTGCGTTTCCATTATGGCAACTATTCAGGACTATCTTTTTTTTAAATTCACAATTCAATTCACAAACTGAGGACGAGAAATAATAGGACATTATTGGCAGAATTGTATTTTTTTAAATTAAATTATTGTATCTGTTATTGAATTTAAATTGTATTGATTGAAGGTGAATAGTTTAGATTCAGTGTCCCAGACTCTACAAATTAACCCAAAGTTATTGAAGAGCATCAGAGCTCTGGTGGTACTTATTAAAAATGGTGCCTTGTATTAAGCCCTTCTGTATCAGTGATGCTCACTGAGGTCCTGTTAAGAATAGCACAGAATTTCATTCAGTATTCATGGGTCATGCAGTTCTAAAGAAATCGGAACCTATTTTATGGATCAATGGAAATCTCTGCACCAATTTATAATCAAGCTGTTTTGTTCCTGTGTACTAACTTGTTCAACATTTTACATTTTGTATATTAAATGATTAAAAACATTTCCTGTCTGCATTGTCTGATGCTGTGCCAGTGGGGCAAAGTTATGAGTGAACTGACCAATTTGCAGATGAATTTAATATGTGGCTTATAACTGAAGCAGACAGCCATTCAGTAAGAAAGATGATCCAGAACAGATCCATTTAATATATCCTGTGGTCTGTGCAGCTTTCTTTCTCCTCAAAAACCTATTGCAGGATTTTCACTTTTCAATCAATTTGTACAATAAATAGATAGGTAGACAAACAGGAGGCTGGAAGAACACAGCAAGCAAGGCAGCATCTGGAAGAAAGGAGAAGTCAACGTTTCGGGTATTCCCCTTTTTCAGGACTGGATGTGGGGATAGGAGGAGCTGCAGATAAGGGGTGGGGGTGGAGGTAGCAGAATGGTGGTAATAGGTAGACACTGATATATAGGTATCACCTGGTTGGTTGGAGGGATGAATCCGGTTGGTGGCTGGAAGGGGAGCCAGGGGATGGGTGGGAAGGTCATTTGAAATTGGAGAACTCAGATGTTGAGTCCTTAAGCTGTAGGGTGTCCAGGTGGAAGATAAGGTGTTATCCTTCAAATAAATGGATAGTTTGACTTTATGTAGTGTACTGTTACCAAGGATTGAAACAGAAATTTCTAGTGATGCTGAAAACTATGAGCCGATTGCCTGACTACGGTTCTCAAGAGGATACAATCCATGACAAGGTCCTGATCTTGTGCAAGTGATAAATGATGATGGGCGTACGTGACAGCATGAAGCTGCTGAATAATGTTGGTGCCAACACTTACCCTTATTCATTATCTAATAACAGACCAGAAATATACAAAAATACTGGTGTGTTTGGTGTCATACTTGACCACAAGTTTCCAACTGGTTTTTGTATCACTATTTTATCCTCTAATATCATCTGGTTATACCTACTGCTCATCTGCTACTGAAACTGTCGTTTGTTCCCGGTGTTTAGTTAGACTTGACAATTGTGAAACATTTGTGGCTGCTCTCCCACACTACCTCCATAAACAAAAAGGTCATCCAAAAAGTCTGTCCTAGCTTACGTCAAGTTTCACTTCACTTATCACCCATGTCTGCTGACTAACATAAGCCCCAGTCAAGCAAAACTTTGATTTTAAAATTCTCGTCCTTTGTTTCAAATCTTTTCATGGCCCATCTCTCCAACTGATTACCTCCAGCCTCATTAACATGGTCTTCAGCTGCGATCACTCTAATCTCAGGAATTCACTCCTTTTCTTCCTTTAACAATCTCTTTTAAAGCCTATATCTTTCAGGAAGCTTTTGGCCAGCTGCCCTAATATTGTCTTTGAAATTGTGGCAATAGTAGTATTATCACTAGCCTATGACTCCAGAGACCTGGGTAAATATTGCCGGAGATACAGGTTCAAATTCCACCATACCATTTAAATTCAGTTTTTAAAAAAAACATTTAGTGTCTTATGTGGTTTGGTATCTTGATTTTGCTTTAAAACACTGGGACATTTTACCATAACTTATTGATATAGCACAGTTTGTATATTAATGTAGAGATGCTTAAATCATTTTAACCAAGTCAATATCAATTACGAGTTATTTGTTTCAATGTTGGCTTTCAAAAAAAAAAAAAAACACTTGATGGAAATTACATAATTAGTGGTCTATCAGGACAACTCTGCAAACAGCACGTCATATTGCTCGAGCATTTTTTGTTGAAGGGCTCAATAGGCTATCTTGGTGCATGCTTGGAAATACAATTTACTTTTGTGGACACATGTTTTGCTAAACATACAGTAAATATGTATTCTCACTGCAATGCTGTTTTATTACTTGGATGATGATAGTGCTGTCCTGGCTAAAAATCTCTAGTTGCATTTTGATAACTTTATACGTTAAAAATATACTAAAGATAGCATTGCTATTTTGCTACTTACATGCATTGTACAAACACGGTGCTCCAAGTCAAAAATCAGATTGTTGATATGTTTAATCGTGTGTCAGTTGTTTGTGGATATTTTCCGACCATTGACTAACGTAGAACCAGGGTTGAATGAGGCCGAATTGAATTTGTTTGAAACTTTGGTTTCCACACCACACCCTACAATTTATTAGGATGAAAAGCTTTTGGATACTAGTCCGTACTGAATTGCAGTTCTAAATACGATAGGAGTATCATTGAACAAAGACAAATTTTGCCAAAGCTTTTTGTCTTACACGCATTGGGACCATTCACAAGAATGCCAATGCAAGAGGAAACCAATATTTGTAGTTTGAGAGATAAGAGTGCTGATTGGTTAGCATTTGACATGGAACATAGCACACTTAGGCTTAGAATCCCTACAGTATGGAAACAGGCCCTTCGGCCCAACAAGTCCACACCACCCCTCAGAGCATCCCACCCAGACCCATCCTCCTATAAACCACCTAATCTATGTATCCGTGAACACTGTGGGCAATTTAACACGGCCAATCCACCTAGCCTGCACATCTTTGGACTGCGGGAAGAAACTGGAGCACCTGGAGGAAACCCACGCAAACACGGGGAGAATGTGCAAACTCTACACAGACAGTCACCTGAAGGTGGAATTAAACCCGGGCCCCTGGTGCTGTGCACTGTGCCGACATGCCACACATCATGGAATGGTTTGAAGCTGTGTGGTGCTGCAAAGCAACAGCCAGCCTCTCAATAACATTGTTAGATATAAACAATACTTACACAAAATTAGTATCTACATTAAGGATAATACAAACCATAAGCTTCCAATCTACCATACTAAGAATGTTCAGATGTAGGTTTGGGATTTAGCCCATACTGATTTTTCATTCTGTGTAATAGGAAAGCAATGTTAGATTTACAGCCCCAGTGCAGGGCCTGTTTTCTCTCATCTCATGCTCTTGCAGCCGATTTCAGTATATAATTAATGTCTGCTCACTCACTGACCAAGAAACAGTGTAGGTCTCTGTGGGACCTCCAGCAGAAAACAGAATCAAGGGATAAACAATTAGCAAATAATTTCATGATTCAGTGTTCTACAGTGCTTTATCTTTCAGGTTTGACAACAAAAGAAACCAAAGGGGAATGTTATAAATGCTTCAATTCCACATGCCCCTGCATGTTAGGGCATTCACAGCCACTATTGCTTCCTATGTCTAGAGACCCAAAAACAGTCTGTTTCTGGACAGAAGCCGTGACCCCACGTGTATTGCTTCAAGTTAGACCGAAGGCTCTTTATGTGAACTGGAGACACTAATACGAGGCAAAACAGGGGCTGCAGATGAGGATCTTCTGACTGCCAAAGACAGCGGAGTTCCAAACACATTTCACTATTTGATGACTTCAGACTATCTTTGCCAATGACAAGGACACTGAGACAGGCCAGAGTTATGTGTAAGCCACCGCCATAGGAAATTGGGTCGGAGATCTAGAGAATTCCCTTCTAGCTCACTTCACAACAGTTTGTACCCACAACAGGTTGTGTACAGCTCTTCCCCCAAAAATACTCTAACAATTACATACCACAGAATTGACAACAGAAAGTGACTATTGGTCCAGCTCGTCTCAGACTATGTTGATGCTCCACAGAAGCCTCCATTCACTATTTTATTCCTTTTTCCTTTTGTAATCTTTCCGATTTCCCTGAAATGGAGCTAGGTTTCTCACCCAAACCATGTGACAGGACAGCAAGTTTCCACATTCCTAACACTCTAAATGCAGATTTCTGCTGAATTCATGTTTGAAATGTCACTGTCACTCACTCCCATCATTTGATCAGCTCATATATCCACTCCCTGTAACCACAGGCAGAGAACAGCCAGGTCATACAACTGTGTGATCAGCCACTCTTTCCAATCACTGTCACTTAAACATGCAAGAAAAAAACACCTAAATGAGGATTTCCATCCCCACAGATTACCCCACAGATTATGATAGGGATACTCCAGCATACCTGTTCTCAACAATATTCCAGCTGTTACTTTACAACCCAGATAATTAGATAAGATTCCTTACCTACCTACTTTGATCGATATTTATCATTATTGGACGTTAAAAGTTTAATTTTAATGGACTAATTTTTTTTTATTTAGAAAGAAACATTGGCCTAAAGTAGCTACAGCAGCCACCTGACCAGATTGAGGCAAGTAAAAGGAAAATACTGCACATGCTGGAAATAAAACAAAAACGTGGCGTTGGAGAAACTCAGGTCTGGGTGCATCTACGTAAGAGAAACAAAATTAAGGTTGAGTGTGATAGGATTTGTTCAGAACTGAAAGGGACTGGAAATTTTTTTTTAATGCTGTTGACAGGAGGGAGGAGCAGTGAGTGGAATGGAATGTGAGGGTGCCCAGAGCGAAGGACAGAGCATTAATGGTGCATATGGGCTTCACTGTGTAGGTTGGTACTTTGTGGAACAACGCTGCTCAGTCCATAGGAATGACCCCATTCTTCCAGTTGCTTTCCATTTCAATAAATCATCTTGCTCCTATGCTGTGTTCCAATGAAGCTCAATGCGGAACACCACCTCACTTTTCATTTCGGCACTTTAAGACCCCTAGAACTCAACATTTGAGATAACTTATTACATCGGTCTCCTCCAGTGTAATTACTGCACCCACATCTCATTGGTCTTTACTCAGCACAGCGGACTAGTTTCCTCCCTTTCATGCCAATTTTACAAGTCTCTCTACTATTCCTTCTGTCTTTTGCTCTGGTCACTGTCACCATTTGTTCCGCCTGTTAACCCATGCTCCCCATCAATACAAGAACCATTTTCCAACTCCTCTCCATTGTAAAGAGTTAGCTTATCAGACTCAAAACCTAAAGTCTGTTTCTCTCTCCACAGATGCTGCCAGATCTGCTGAGTTTCTATAGAATTGTGCTTTTACTTCAGATTGAGGCAAGTTTCAGGAAACCCATGTGGAATAAATGGCACTATCTGCACTGAAATCACCATTTTCACCCAAAGACCAAGCTAGGCAATAGTCTGTGCCATCCTGATTTAATTCACATTTGTAGGATGCCACATTTTGGGAGATTACAGCTCAAGTACTAATTAGCTAGTTTGGAAAAACAATGCAGCTAGATTCAGGAACACAGAACTTACATTTTAACAGATGCTTTTGAGGTGATGAGTTTGTGGTATTGTTGCTGGACTGTTAATTCAGAGACCCTGGCATTGTTCTGGGGACCCAGGCTTGAATCCTGCCATGGCAGATGTTAGAATTGGAATTCAATAAAAAAATCTTGAATAAAGAGTCTAATGATGACCATGACTGATTGCTAGAAAAACCCTTCTGGTTCACTAATGCCCTTTAGGACAGGAAACCACCATCCTTACCTGGTCTATCCTCCATGTGACTCCAGACCCTCAGTAATATGGATGACACTTAACTGCACTATGCAATTAGGGATGGGGAATAAATGCTGGCCTACTGTTGCCCACTTCCCATGAATGAATGACAAAAACCTAAGAAATTAGTTCATGACTGCATCTCCAACATTTGTCCCAATATGAATCATGTTTTTTCTCCAAAACCAATGACGTCAACAGATTAAAAAAAACTTGCCTGTTAAATCCCTGAGCAGAGGTAGTATTAAGTGCGGTGAAACGTCAATATCTTCAGATTTTTAATAAAACTGGTTTCAGCATGTGAGGTTGTATCCATGGCAACGGTATGGCAGTGTAGAAACACAGTTAGCTAGAATTTAAGTGGCCTGTTGGGGTGCTGTAGCATACATGGGACGATTTGCGAAGTGTAATTGGGACCAATGACAAAAACAGAAAGCAGTGATGTGACAATCTCCTGCCGGGAACTCACTGCCAATTCAGCTAAACAGACATAAATTTATTTATTGAATAACTGGAGCACAGATGGTCCAATAGCAGACCTGCTTCGTATCTCATTGGTCACAGTCAGTATCTTTTACTGCCAAGGAACTTGCACTGGATACACAGCGTAATCTAGAGAACAGAATATTGTAATACATTCATGGAATAGGCAAATCAAGATTTCAGTGAAAGCAGCCTCCATCTTCAAAATGCTAGTTTCTTCACCATAGGAAGGATATTATTAAATTGGAGGGGGTGCAGAAAAGAATTAAAGGGATTTAACCAGGACTGAAGGGTTACCTTATAGAGGTTTATAAAATCACGAGTGGCACAGATAAGGTGAATAGCAAAAGATCTTTTCACTAGGGTAGGGACATAATTTTAAGGACAAGGAGAGAAAGATTTAAAAAGGGGATCCAAGGGACAACTTTTTCCACACAGAGGGTGGTTTGTATGTGAAATGAACTGCCAGAGGAAGTGGCAGATGTAGATACAGTTACAACATTTAAAAGACATTTGGACAAGCACATAGATAGAAAAGTTTTAGAGGCATATGGGCCAAATAGGACTAGTTTAGTTTAGTAAACCTGGTCAGCACGGACAAGTTGAACCGAAGGATTTGTTTCCGTGCCGTATGACTAACTGTGTATTCTGAGGTTGTTTATTTGCACAGTGGAAAACATGCTTTCAAATTATTACTATACCAATTTACTGTACGTGATTTTATTATCCAAAGGTAACATAAGCTTCAGAAATAGTACAAAATTGGAAATACAGAATTCAAATCCACAGAATTCTCATGTAGAGAGAAAAGTATTCAATAAAGGTATCTAATGAAAGTCTACTGAGACAACATAAAAAATGTGAGATGCAAATTTAAATCTCATCAAAAAACAAAAATACCCTGGAGGTTGAAGCACATACATCAACTAGCTGGTGGAGCCGCAGTCTTTTGGCAAAGTCGAGCAAGCAGTCCAGCCATTTGTAATAAGGAATTCACCCCTTCTGCAATTCTCATATGAGTGTATCCAATCTCCTGCAGGGATTGAGAAAGGTGGAAAATTTACTCTTTAAGATAACTGACAACATATCAAAGTTTACAAGTTCACTTCTGATTTTATAAAACCAATCTTAATCCTTGTTTTTTTTCCAACCCATTCCTTTAGCTGTGTACCATTAGTGACATTACCAAACCAGGGGCAGAACAGTTTGTGCCACTCTCTTGCCTCCCTGTTTTCTCCGGTTTGTGGCAACGGAGGAAAGTGAGGCGGAATTTTCTCCTCCTGTATCAGTACTAACCCACCTAAATCAGTGCAAAGTCAATCATATAAAGATGCACTTTAACAATGAACCCTAAACTGAAATATAAAAAATATTTTGGTCTGACGTTTCTGTTACTTACGCAAATCAGCACTAAATATTCATCACTTTTATATTGTGGATTTGACCTGAATGAGACCCAGAGCAAGAGAAAGTACTTTTCATTTCAGGGTAGGTTCAGATGTGGATTTCTGTTGGCATACTGTGCCATTGAGTCATACAGCATGGAAACAGACCCTTCGGTCCAACTAGTCCATGCTGAACATAATCCCAAACTGAACTAGTCCCACTTACCTGTTCCTGGCTCATATTCCTCCAAATCTTTCCTGTTCATGGACTTATCCAAGTGTCTTTTAAACATTGTCGTTGTGTCCACATCCATCACTTCCTCAGGAAGTTCATTCCACATCTGAACCACCCTCTGTAAGAAGTGCCCCTCCTGTCTTTTTTAAAAACCTCTCTCCTCTCACCTTAAAAATGTGCCCCCTAGTCTTGAAATCCCCCACTGTAGGGAAAAGATACCTACCATTAACCCCTTACGATTTTATAAACCTGTAAGGTCGCCTCTCAACTTCCTCTGCTCCAGTGAAAAGAGTCCCAGACTATTCAACCTTATGACTCAAATCTTCCATACCCGACAACATCCTGGTAAATCTCTTCTGAACCCTCTCGAACTTAATATTCTTCCTATTAGGGGACAATCAGAACTGGACACACTATTCCAGAAGAGGTCACACCAATGTCCTGTGCAACCTCAACATGAGGTCCTAACTCCTATACTCAAAAGGACTGAGCAATGAAAGCAAGCATTCCAAACAATTTTTTAACCACCTTGTCTACATGTGACACAAACTTCAAATAATTATATATCTGAACCCCTAGGTTCCTCTGTTCTTCAACACTAGTCAAGGTCCTACCATTAACTGTATAAGCCCTACCCTTGTTTGTTGCACCAAAATGCTATACCTCACACCTTCTCCAGATTGAACTCCATCTGCCATTTTTCAGCCCATTGACCCATTTTATCAAGATCCCTTTGTAATCTTAGAAAACCTCATTATGACATTTAAAAGGCAAAGAAATGGGTATCTGAATAGGAAGGGTTTAGACAGATATGAGCCAAATACTGGCAGATGGGACTAGGTTTATTTATGATACCTGGTCAGTGTGGACAAGTTGGACCAACGAGTCTGTTTCTGTGCTGTACATCTCTCTGACTGTCCAATGTGCCACCAATTTTGGTGTCGTCCACAAACTTATTAACTGTGTCTTCTATAATTCTCATCCAAGTCATTCACATAAATGACAAGATAGGACCCAGAACCAAGGCCTGTGGAAGACCGCCAGTCTAAGGCCTCCAGTTCGAAAGACAACCCTCCCCCACCACTCTGTTCTCTGCCATTTAGCCAAATTATGTATCCGACTAGCAAGCTCACCTTGAATCCCATTTGACCTAACTTTACTGATTAGTCTACGGTGTGGTACCTTGTCGAAGTCCAAGTAAACAACAGCTACTCCTCTACCCTCAATCTTTTTGGTAACTTCCTCAATCAAGTTTGAGAGACACGATTTTCCTTGCACAAAATCATGCTGACAATCGCTAATCAACTTTTGCCTCTTTAACCGTCCATAAATCCTATCTTTCAAAATCAGCTCCAACAATTTATCCACAACCGAAGTCAGATTCACAGGTCTATACTTCCCTGGTATCTCCTTATGGCCTTTCTTAAACAAAGGTACAACATTGCCACCCCCCAGTCATCAGGCACCTCACCCTTAGTTATAGATGATGCAAATATTTCTGCGCGGGGTCTCACAATTTTCTCCCTTACTTCCCCCAATGTTCTGTAATACATTAGATCAGGTCCTGGAGATTTATCCACCTTTATATTCTAAGGCCTCCAGAACTTCCTCTTCTGTAATGTGAACAGTTTTTAAAACATAAATACTTATTTCCCTGTGTTCTCTTGCCCCCCTTTTCTTTCTCCACAGTAAAAACTTGTGAAGTATTAATTTAGTACCCCTCCCATCTCTTGGGGTTCAACACAAAGATGACTTCCTTGATCTTTAAAGGGGCCCTACCCTCTCACTGGTTGCCTTCAATGTACTTGTCAAATCTCTTTGGATTATCCTTAACCTTATCTGCCAATCCTATCTTTGCCTTTATATTAAGAGATTCAATTGAAACAAGTCATCTAAATCTAAAATAAGATTCTCTTTTATTCTTGACTAGAACCTCAAAATCTTCATTCATCCATTGTTCCTTAATCTTACCAGCCTTATCCTTCATTCTAACAGGAACATAATGCCTCTGAACTTGTCACCACACTCTTGAACACCTCTCACTTATCAGACATCCTTTTACATATAATAACAGTCGACTCCAATCAACTTTTGAAAGTTCTTATTTCATGCCATTAAAATTTACCTTGCTCCAATTAAAAACTAACTTTTATGGAAGGTTTATCCTTTTCCATAACCATTTTGAAACTATAGAATTATGATCGCTAGACCCAAGGTGTCCCACTTTTACTTTAGTCACCTGCCCTGCCTTATTGCCCAAAAGAAAGTCTAGTTTTGCTCCTTTTCTAGTAGGAGCATCCACGTATTGAAAAAGAAAATTTTCGTGAACACATTTGACAAATTTGTCATCATCCAAACCTTTAACACTTGAGCAGTCCCAAGTCAATGTTTGGAAAACTTAAATTCCCCATTATTGCAACCACATTATGCTTACATATATTGGAGATCTCCCTACATATTTGTTTCTCAATTTCCCTCTGACTACTGGGGGCCTATAGTACAATCCCATCCCACTCAATCTTTCCTCCATCCTCTTGTTTGCCTCATCATCCCAGGGCCCATTCCTGTGACACTAAGGGCTCATTCCTGTGACACTAGTGAAAATCCAGGTGACTGGCTCATTTCTTCTTGTCAACATCACAATGCAACCAGCTGAAAAGAAAAGTCCAAATGCACGTTGACACCTTATTTCTGATGCTTGAAAAAATTCATCTCACAAGGAACTAAAAAATAAAACTTCTCTTTCTCGGGTTCCATGCCCATAACCTTCACCATGGATAGAGCAAGGAGGCAGTGTTGAGTCCAGAATGACAACTGAACCTAGTGGTGTTGGGCACTAATTTGAACTTCACCAGCTGTCAAACTAATGGAGCAAACTGGTCCCTCCCCACTGAAGAGCCAGAGGTTCTGTAGAAACAGACACTTTTACATAAATGTTGGAGCATGCAGCTAAGGATAGTGATGGTAGAGTTACCTTTTTCTTTCCATTGTATGACTGATCAGGAAGCTCTCCCAGTCTTACTGCCTGCCACCGTTGTGTGCAGGAAACATTTACAAAAGTTGATAATCAACCATTTTGGCCACATGAACTCTCCTTCCTTGGCTGTCAAGTCCTAGAATGGGACTTTAAAAACCAGAAATTTGGCTCTGAGGCAAGGACACTACCCACTACAACACAAGGCCTTCTGTAATGAAACAAATTATCTAACTATTAGAGAAGCGTAAAGTTTCCACTGATTTTCCCATGGTAATGACTCTGACATTACTAATTGCAAATAAGAAACTGGTGGAATTTCCATCACAAGTTGTATCGAATGTAAGCTTAGTTTCTACAGTCTGCTTCACTAGAACTTGGCCCCATCTCAGAACATTGTGCATGCTAGGTTTTCCCTAATCGAGTTCAAAAGAAGGACTTTTACATAATATGGTTTTCTCTTTGGCACAAAAGGATGGCTTCAAAATGTTTTTAAAAATTAAAAATGTTTAATTTACCAGAACCTTACTCATGTATACTAAACTAGTATAATTTGAAGTTATGTTCAGTGATTTACATTCAAGTTGCTCACTGATGGACTAGACACATTAAAATTACTTTGAGATAACCCCATTTAGCAGCTGAATTGATGACATTGCACATTAAGCAGATACCCTTCTGTTCCATTAAAATTTACCATGTCCAGATTAACATGAATGGAAAGCTGGCAAATCAAACCAGCACCAGAAGATAACGAAGTTGGTACTGAATAAAATTTGAATTGAAAACAGTTATGCAAAAGCGAGGATTTTAAAAATAAATGGAGAGGTTGGATTATGAATATTAATGAAGATAAGCTTACAGGGTTGGAGAATTTTCAATTTGTTAACTGGCATCCTAGTTACTAACAGTTGCTGGGTTTGATAGGTCTATATAAAAGGACAGTATAAATGGACAGTATAAAATGGACAGGAGGGACATTAGTTAGCATTATTTACAGGTGTGACATCATAAACAAGCACAATGGGCCAAACTTCTACTTTTCAAAATCAAAAAAAATGAAAACAAAAAAAAAAAAATTACAATTTCCTCTGTGAAAGGCTGGAATTATTGAATAAAATTACGAAGGAAGCAATGAGATTTGAAATCCCAGCAAATTTAGAGGGGACTAGAGTCCCTGCTAGTAAATGGGGTTTTGGTTCTAGTAATACATCCTGATAGGAAATACCCAGGGTCCTCCTGGGTATAAGTGTATTGTAATACAATATATATCAGTGTTGCATACTCTTTCAGTAATGTATGTGTTAAGGAAAACTAATTTCGTTCCAACATCTTCCACTGTATGGAAAACATATAACTGTTTACTGTTTAGGGTGCCTCAAATGTCTCAGAACACTTCACACAAAATAAGTTACATTCAAGTGCACCAGAATGCCATACAGACAAAAGATGTTTGGAGACTTTTTAACATTTACGTGAACTGCCAGTACTACAATGAGGCATCTTGCCTGCAGGATAACACCTCCAACATTGCTGACCTCCCTCTGTTCTACAACAAAATGTATTCAAGCTTTGCTACACAACACATACCCACTACTACCCAATCAAGGGGCAAAGGCACGAACAAGCTGATCAAGTCAAACCCAGAAACAGTTTTTTCTGATGGATGTTATTCTCACGCTGGATGCAGCAGACTGCAAAATCTGGGCTCTGTGCCTTCAACCCTTCTCACCTTTATGAACTCCAGCTTCAAGTATTCCTGCATTTGGAAAGTTTTACAGACACGGAAGATGTTGCCAATAATGTCTTCTGGCGAGTAACCCAGCTTCCAGAGATGAGCAACAACCTGAAGATGACAAAACCACAAGAGGACAGGAGTGAAACACATGTCAAATAGTCCTATGGAGAGCAATATAAAGTCAAAATATCTATCAACTGAAAATACAATGAATAGAGGAGGTGAAAGAGAGAACAAAAAAAAAAAAAAAAAAAATTCAGGAATTGCTGGAGAAACTGATCAGGTCTGGCAGCACAGTTTGAAGGAGGATCATCTGGACTCAAAACATTAACTCTGCTTTTTCTTGTAGATGCTGCCAGAGCTGCTGAATTTCTCCAGCAATTTCTCTGTTTTTGTTTCAGACCTTCAGCATTCACAGTTTTGTTTAATTTTAGGTGAAAAGGACAGTTGGGCAGTGTAAACATACATGCAAGAGTGAAACACTGCACTTAAAAAGTTTTCACATGTAATGCTCCCGCTAAGTTGCACAGCATTCTGGAATACAAATTGAGGATGTTTCCTTTTGAGGTGCTTAAATACTCAGCAATATTCTAGGGACCAATTAGCAAAAGAAATAGGCGACACTCAGAAGTTACAGGGAACACTGCCCACATGGCATTTTGAAGAAGGTATGAGTAAGTTTTGAAAGAAGGAAACGACAGCATTAGGACAAGGCTACTACATGGACCAAAAGGAACAAGATGGGGTAAAAATTAATGAGGCAATTGAATTGTTACAACCTTTAAGACAGGAAAATATGTCTGAGATTCTCACGTTTGGCTTCAGAATGAGAGAATGATAAGGGTAGCAGCTTTTATTGAGAAGATTATCGGGAATATCCTGGACCTGCAACATAAACTTGGGAGGAAGAAAACTGGTAAAAGAGCGGAGATGTGGTTCCATTTTGCACGTGCAACTGTCATGAAGCAGCAGCTACAGTCAGAACATTTGTTGTTCGGTTAAATCAGGCTGATGGACCCATCTTATATCATGCTTCCTCCATTTTTAGCTGAATAAAAGCTTAAGGAGGAGATATTGATAAATTTATATTTGAGAGTTATGTATAAACATGCATAATTATAAGAATCATGTAGAATCTACCTTGTATGCCTCATCGATGTTTGCATTGACACAGTGCTGAATCATCTCTTTTACCAGAAGTGGATGAGGTTCATCACAGACCTATTGGAAACAGCGGCACTTGGTAAAAGGATAGAACTTGATGTTCTCAATTATAACAGGCAAAAGCACCGAGAGTACAAGTATGACAGCTGCCATATCTCTTCAGTCCATTTTTTCCAACTGTACGTGATGTAGTCTGTGCAAGCCCAACTAAAATCACAGACATCAATTTTGTCGATATCTGAATTTGCGTTTGTTATATGTCCAACCATGGCAGACCATTCAATGCGCCCTCAATATGCTAGACGTTAGAAAATTCTATTTATGCAGTGCCATAGTACATTGTCAAGATGATCCAAACTATTTCACCACCAACATATTACTCTTGAGTATACCCAGTTATATTCATAGAGACAGCAACTTCTTTGGCTGGAGTCCCCAAAGTGAGTTCCCAGATAATCTGCTTTATTTGGTGATCAGTCAGTTAAGACTTGAGGGAGTACAGCAAAGGTTTACCATGCTGATTCCAGGGACGGCATGTCTGCTGTATGAGGAGAGATTGACTAGGTTGGGATGGTTTTTGCTAGACTTCAGACAAATGGCTTGAGGCGGGAGGAGGAGGAGACTTTTCAAATTCTAACAGGACTGGAGAGGGTAGATGATCCCGATGGTGGATGTGTCCAGAACCAGGGGTCACAGTACGAGGATTCGGGGTAAACAATTTGGGACAGAGATGAAGATACACTTCTTCACCCAAGGAGTGGTGAGCTTGTGGAATTCGTTACCACAGGAAGTAGTTACAGCCAAAACATTGAATGTATTCAAGAGGCAACTAGATATAGCACTTGGGGCGAATGGGATCAAAGGTTATGGGGAGAAAGCAAGATTAGGCTATTGAGTTGGATGATCAGCCATGATCATGGAGAATGGCGGAGTACGCTCAAAAGGCTCGAATGGCCTCCTCCTGCTCCTATCTATGTTTCTTTGAACAGTGGCATGAGATCTCTGACTTCTATTTGAACTGGCAAGCAGAACCTTTGATTAACTCAAAAGGAGATTCAACAACACAGCATTCCCCTGTGTTACACTGCACTGTTATCCTCAACTGTGTGCTTAAATCCAAAATGGAGCTTTAACCCAAAAACCATATTTCAAAGCCTGAAGTGGTACCAACTGCCAGAGGTGATATCTAAACTCTAACATTCTTCATTTCCACTGATGTAAGAATTCACTAATTCTATGCTCCTAGTAAGGACTTGGCTAAAATGTTGCAGTGAAAGGAACATAACGAGATCAAGCCCACAATTATTGGCTTGGAACACAGGGCTAAAAAAAAGCTACTGCTCTCTTAATATGTAAGGAATAAATCTAAACAAATTAAAATAATCTGTAAAGTATTAAAATATTCAGTGAAATTACTTTGCATTTAGTAAAATAATGAAAAATGTGAAGCGCTGTAACAACTCTATGCAAAAAAGTTCAGAACTAATGTGGTCATTCTAAAGCAAACATTGTGTGTCCTGAAAGAAATATATGTTATTATTTAAAACAAAAGTTGCTCAAGACTTTGAAACACATCCAACAGAAAAATCACTGAACAGCCGACAAACTATGATAAACAATAGAATTTTGTGTAAACTAACAATAACATTTTGCAACTAAACAAATGCAACACTGGTTTAGCCTTCATTCTTGAGCATAAAAATCTGAGCTAATTTGCAGTAGTCTCTTGCAGTGTGCTGCACTGTTGAAGGGACTTGCAGAACAGATGCTGAACTAGTGGCTTGGCTTGCTCTGACAGACATTTAGAAAATCTCATGACATCAATTGACAAGGAGCTGTAAATGCTCCGTGTTCAGGGCAATATTCTTATCAGAATAACTTGCCATAACCTTCAGCAACAATTTTGCAGGGAAGTGTTTTGAGTCAAGAAAGGCATTAGGTAAATCCAGGTTTTTTTTTTTAAAAATGAGCACTTACCTTGAAAACATTTTCACTGTTAACAAACCCAAATCCTGAATGTGTTGACTGCAAGTTGTTCAAAGCCTGTTAAATTAAAAGAAAAAGCTTGTTCTTGGATCCCAAAATCAAAAATCAACTGAAAAATACACAAAACTTAGTTCACCTATTTAGAATATCTATTCAAAGACTTATATACTGTAATACTAACATTTGGCTATACAAATTCAGCTGAGAGGAACACAGTAAACAATTTCTTTCTCTGAGTTCTGAGGAAGGGTGACTGGACCCAAAATGTTAGTTCTGCTTTCTCTCCAGACGCTGCTGGACCTGCTGAGTTTTCCCAGCAATTTTTGTTTTTGTTTCAGATTTTCAGCATCTGCAGTTCTTTTGGGTTTTTATTTTTTCTCCCAGGTTTCTGTAGATTCAACCGTATTGTTACGAGTTTGGTGAAAATTACTGAAAATTTGATGCGAATTAGTCACCTTATATCTTGGTAACAGAGGATTCTTGCACAAAAGCATATTAGTGCACATCGATTTTGTATCTTATAGAGATACCTGATCTGAAGCATGAAACTCTTAAATACCTTAATATTGATATCTTTCATACAACAAGGACAAAAATTCAAAGTAAACAGCTCACTTAGATTTTTTGGTGCAAATTTATCTAAGCTCTGGAATTCCATCCATAAACCTTTTTTTCCTTCTTTCAGACAGTCATGGCTTATGTTGCCTACTTTTAGAAGTTTTTTTGATATCATTTCTGGATGTTTATTAACTTCTAACAGTGCTCCATAAATGCAAGTTGCAGTTGGTGCTGTTAACACATGACATTTAGTAATCAGCAGCCCCATTCTACACTGTGCCATGACCAAAACTGATCTTACCTGTCTCATGTCTCCTTGTGCTGTGAAAATTATAGCTTCCAGTCCATCATCTGTATACCGGACATTCTCCTTCTCAACCACCTGCATCAGTCGTGCAAGGATCTGAGCATCGGTGAGTTTTGTATAACGCAGGACAGCACAGCGAGACTGGATAGGTTCTATGAACATGCCAAGGATATTACATGAACTCAATAGTATATAAAGAAGCACATTAAATCAGTAGAAACAATAACGTCCTGAATGTTGAATTTAAAGCAAGGGTGCTTTAGGGTGAGAATCTAGGCTTCCAAATTTGTTCTAGAGCTTGGTCTGATTGACAGAAAGTGGTCATTATGAAAAGAATCTTTCAATCTTTTTGTGATTGGGCAAAGAGCTCTCTGCCTAAGTTTCTCCCTTAGAAGGTCATTACAAACAGCCAAACATTGCCTCTGACTAGTTGTTTTCAGGCATAGAACTCGAGACACCAAAGAAATAGCACAACATTTGAAGGCTCTACCAATTAGTAGAATAGTTATCCTCCTTATTTGGCAAGCCCTGTAATTCCACACAACTTGCATCCTTTGCATCACATGAAATACTCAATAAATATCACTTAAATCATTTGCAGACATTAAGAAACTAACCACAGTAGAGTTAAAAGGAGATGATTTGGTTACTGGCACAGCTGGATCTGTCTAACGACCATCTCAAGTACACAGACACACCCAATCAATCATGTTCAGGCATGTAGAAAATACTACCATGTGCTGTATAGTAATAGCACCCAACAAGGTTTAAACAGAAAATAACTTCTTTAGTTAAATTGTATAGCAACAGGTAAAGGGCACTTCACTTTTGCAATCTCTTTCTTGTATTTCCCCCCCAATATAATCTTCCAGTTTACAACCTCCTGTGACAGCCATCAGGATCATGAGATACACTGTCTCCTGGCCTAGATCCAGTCACTCAACTCAGGTTTTGAACTGTATGATTAGTCATGTTTGCTGCCAAGAGCATCCAGGCCAGAAAGTGATAAACTACTAAAAATAAACCACTGAATGACATGAGCCGAACAAATCACAAGATCAGCCCCAGGAGGGATTACAATTCCATCACTTGCCACCAGGGCAACACCTGCTTTGTTGATATCATGCAAGGCTATTTACAGTAAAAAAAAGAGTCTTTGCAATTTAGAAAAGTTTCAATTGCTTGGAGGCACTACAGCGACATATGGCAGGTGTCAGATGAATGTAATATTGCAATATATCAAGTCACTTTGAAGATAAACAGAGTTAATAGTTAGTAAGCTGAGGAATATTCCATGTCAAGGTGTAAACAGAGAAATGAGACCCTTTATGTAAATCAATACAATTTGTGTTTACACAATATGATAAAAAGTGCAGCATTGACTTGCTTTATGTGACTAAATGTGTATATAGTCCTACATCGAAGACTGAACCTTCTCCCTGCAGTTCTTGTCTTTTTAAGATTCTCTCAGCATTTTGCAGCCTTTAACAGGCCTTTTGAAAATAAATCGAGAACACATGATTTTCAACAGCACAGATTAAATTAACAAAAATAACTTCCATGGAGAGATGGTAAACACCCCAAAACAGGACAGTAGTCATTTTAATAACTTCTGGAGATGCATCTGTAAATTTCTGTTCACCAAAACCTACCTATGATTTTGTCTGAAGCGTTGCATGCCAGTGCAAAGCGAGTTGTTTTAGAGTAAATCTCCATTGTCCTCCTTAGGGCTTGTTGAGCTCCATCTGTCATACTTTAAATTTAAAAAAGCTGAATAATATCAAATAAATAATAAGCTCTCTTCAAGCATTATTCAGTCCTTGCTCATCTGTGGGAACCTCTGGACGGTTCAAGTAAGTTTCAACACTCTTCTGCAAGATGGTCTGATAAATAAGCTGGTGTCTACACAATAACTTGTTTATATAGTATCTTTAACATAATGAAACTTACTGATATGCTTCACAGGGTCATTATATAGTGAAATACTGCCCAAGCCACACAGATCTTTGGTTAGATGATCAGAGAGGTAGATTTCAAGGAAGGAAGTGAGCTAGAGGTGCTGGAGAGGTGAGAACTTCTACAGCTTGGGGGTCGAGGCAATGGAAGGCATATGGAGCAATTTAAAACCAGGGATGACCTATAGACCAGATTTAGAGGGGTGTGCAGATAACAGACAGTTGAGAGAGTAAAAAGCTAGGAGTGGTTAGGCCATGGAGGAATCTAAAAACAAAAACAGGAATTTTAAAAATCAAGACGTGGCTTGACTGGAAGCAAAGTATAGGTCAGAAGCACAAGAGTGACAAGGGAAATCTGACTTCCTGTGAGTTGAGACATGAATAGTTGAGTTTTGGACAGTTAAATTTCTAAATATGACACACCAGCCGGGGTGCACTTGTAGAGTCAAGCAGAACATAACAAAGACACGAAAGAGGGTTTCATCAGCAGACAAGCTGTGGGCAGGGGCAGTCGGCAATGTTATAGAGTTGGAAACAAGCTTTCTTTGAGGTAGCATAAATAAGGTTGCAAGTATATCTCAGGATCAAATATCACACTGGAGGTTGAGAACACACTATACTCATTCCCCATCTGTAATGACTTTACCGTCAGCAACAATGGAATGACCTGTGCCAAATATGGAGATACTACATTTCACAAACAGTAGTGATCATATTTTCAGCTCTAGTGAACAACATCGAAATGTATACACTTGCCATACATGGAAGGAAAGCTTGGATTCTTCTACAACCCCTTGTAAGTCTTCTAAACGTTTCAAAGTATTTTACCGCCAATTATTTACTTTTTAAATGCAGTGACTGTTGTGTGAAAGCCAATTACACATAGCTTGGTCCTGCAGAGGAAATAACATGAAGGTCATTATTTTCCTTCAAAAAAACAGTGCTATTGTGGATGAATTTTGGTCAGGATACCCAGAAAATAAAAGTCTCTCTCGAAACGGAGCCATGCGTTCTGTGTACTTACTCAGTAAGCAAATGAAACCTTTGGGTTAACACTTCAGAAAGATAGGGGCTATTAACAATCTAGTACTGCTTCAGGAAGGCATGGGGGTCCAATAGACTGTGCGCTCAAATCCTGGAGTGGGACTTCAATCCATGTGCCCTCACTTGGCGGGTGGGAAGCATAGCCAGTGGTTTACTTAAATATGCACTTACAGCCAAAGTAGAAGTTGGTGACTTCTGGCAGCAAGTCACTACAACTTTAAAAGCTACTGCACATAGAATGGTTACTCTCAAGCAGCAGGTTACAAATAAACTCTTGTTCAATGTATTGCATTCAAATAACGTGACTAGTATTACAGAGCTCATTCCAGAGCCTTCAGGCATTTTAACTTGCATCTACCCTAAATATTCATGATCACGACTGCAAGGCAATGAAAAATGCCGAGCTGACCAGAAATACACAGTGGAAGGGAAATCCCTACCACATTCATACTAAAGTTTTGATGACATCTGCGTGCTGTCTCAGACTGAACTACAAATGAAACAATAAGACTTTTATTCTGAAATACATGAATCCCCTCACCTGTCAGCTTCATCCAGGATAATAATTTTGTGACGACCTTTTGGCAGTGTGACCTTCTGCTGGGCAAACATTTTGATTTTGTTTCTGACCACATCAATACCCCTGTAACAATGGCAAGCCGTATTCAAATCAGTCATAATTCAACATTATCAAAGACAAAATATTTGGTGCTGGACAGATTTATTACACAATCCAAGAAATAATTTAAATTTCTCAAACTTTGCTGAACCAGGGCAGCTGATGCAAGAAATGAAAAGGTTCGCATTCACTGAAGGAGGGCTTCTGAAAGCGAAGGCTAAGACGATAGCTAGAAGAATTTTATTCTGCTTCTGTCCAGCCTCGTTTCAGGTATTGGAGTTTAATTAACAATTAACTCAATAATCAGTATCTTGAGGCAGGCATGAGGCTGAGGCAGGTCAGAAGTGTCCGGTGGGGTAGCAGTTGTTTTAGGGAAAATATGTTCAAATTATTCTTCTAGCCAGCCTTATTGTCCACACTGCCTGATTGTTCCAGGCAGGAACACAGTGACATTCTGAAGGGGAAGAACAGCAGGAGCTTATGGTCCACATTGGTGCCTACAAACCAGGTTAGAAAATAAAGGGATGAGGCCCTGCTAGCAGAACACCGAGCTAGGAAATAAGTTAAAAAGCAAGATCTATTATTCCCAGTACCATGTGCTAGTGAGGTCAGGAACGGCAGAATAGATTGGTTAAAGTTGCGGCTAGAGGGATGGTACAGGAGGGAGGAATTTAGATCCTTGTAGCTTTGGGAGCAATTCTGGGAAAGATGGGATCTGAGCAAGTTGGATAGCTTGCACCCCAGCAGGACAGAACCAAAATTCTCACAAGGCATCTACCAAGCTTTAAAACTATAGTAACAAAAGGAATGGGAACCTGAACGGGAAGAAAAGAGAGTGAAACAAAGATGGAAATTAAAATGTAAAAAAAAAAAAGAGTAAAATGCAAGTGTGAACAGAAGGAACAAAGGATAGTAGCAAGTAGAAGAATGCTGGAGTCTATTTATAAAGGTTGTGATAATAAAGACACTTGTAAAAATTTGTGACGATGCGAATGGCTCAAATCCAAGTTTTTTCTTTTAATACCTACATTGGAGAAATGAGATAATCTCGCTGGTTCAGCTCTGTAAATCAATCATCTCAAGGGTTCATCACTATCAACTGTCACATAAAAGCCATACATTACAGTTTAGTAGAGTTACAAAATCCATTTACTCATGTCAAATGGAATTAGTAGATAGCAACTGACATTACAGGTGAATGGACAGCAGCAGGAAATGCATTGTGTCGTGTTTTGATTTTCATATTTAATTGTATTTTTGCCAATGTTAACTGCCCTTACTGTTCCAATAATCAGTCCTGACTGAAGCAAAAAGGTCAGATGGGGATTTAAAATAAAAACATTGGGAAAAGACTATTTCAAAACACAACATATTGTGCAAGATTATATTTTGCAACAGCCCAACACAACAAGAGGCCAGCTGCTTCCAAGACAATGTACTTTCTTTTTAAGCTATGATTACAATCAAAAGCAACTGCTTGCTTCACTTGCTTTCGTTTGTATTTTTAAATATAAATAGCAGCAGCAAAATTTGCTCAACTGATGAGGTGCCATCACATCTAAGCTTAAAAAATGCAGTCACTTTTGTTCACTTGCTGGAAAAGAAGTTATGGATTAGACTTTGTACTCTGCCTTGGGAAGGCTAGCACATTAGGAGCAATGGCATTAAGTAAACAAAAAGGGAAAGCAATACATAATGAAGGCAACAGTTGGAATGCTAATCCCCAATGACCCCATTGCAATTATTGAAAACATTTAACAACTATTCCATATGAAACATGAGGAGTCATGGAATGATGCACCAGAAAATATTTTACTTTCCTTTTCCCAAGGAATCGTCATACTCCAAAATCCCATCCAGATGAAATAATATTACTCTCATCCACTTTACAGATATCAGAAGAAATCATCTCAATTCATCGTTAGAATCAATGCACTATATCATGCATCTTACCGGTCATTTGAGGCATTGAGTTCAAGAACAGCATCTTTCAGTGCAGGTCCCAACAGTGCACGTGCTAAGCACAGGATGCTTGTTGTTTTTCCGGTGCCAGGTGGACCCTTAACAACAAACAAGTCATTAGCTTTTAAAGATTCTATTTCTCATTTATTATATATTTTATTAAATTGCATCTTATACCTCATTTCAACTCTATAGGTATATTTTATGTACATCATTTGGACACCACCACTGAATAGTTATATAGTTTGTGGCAGTAAGGTTGATTTTCCATAAATCAACCAACGTGCATCTGTTAAATAATCAGAGAACAATTTGATAAAAAAATAAATTTCATGGGTAAGGCCAGCATTTATTGTCTACCCCTAACTGCCCTTGAACCAAGTAGCTGGTTGGTCATTTCAGACAGCAGTTAAGAGTTAACCACATTGCCAAGAGTCTGGAGTCACATGTAAGCATGGCAGATTTCCTTCCCAAAAGAACATTAGTGAACTAGATAGGTTTGTACAAAAATTCTGTAAAAATGTAAATGTTTTGAAGACTTTCAAGAAATTGCATAATAAGGGCTAAAGGGTCAAAGAATAGGGGGAGAAAGTGAGAACAAGGCGCTGTGTAGGACGATCAGCCATATCATATTGAATGGACTACTCCTACGTGGAGTATTTGTGCCTCCCCATTTCATGGTCCCCATTACCAAGAGAAGCTACATCTAAGCCAGACTGGGTGAGGATGGCAGATTTCCTTCCTGGAAGTACATTAGTCAGACGGGTTTTTCCTGACAGTCGACAATGGTTTCATGGTCACCAGTAGGATTTTTTTGTTATTTTATTCAGATTCCATAATCTGCTGTAGTAGGATTCCCCAGATCAATAGATGATTTTCTGGATTAACAGCGATAATACCGCTTAACCATCACCTACGTCCACACTAAAGGAACATTGATCAATTGTCACTGTTAAAACATGAAATAGCAGCAACAGTAAGTTAGGCAAGTTAAGGGGAGAATTGATGCATACTGAACAGCAGAGAAGATAAGTTCAGGAGCAGACACGGTTTTAGCTTGACAGCTTAAAACGTGATTTCTGTAGTTTTGTTCTTATCAAAACATCAGGCATTAATATATTTCAGTTTAAACAGAATATATTGACCACATCAACTTTTTGTTGATTGACAACGTTGTGGAGTCTGGGGTCTGGAAAAGTCTCAGTATGTTGCTATGACATTCCTGCAAGATAATTAAATAGGTGTTGGTGTGGGTAGTGATTCATACTCACTGCAATTATGATGTTGGGTACATTCCCCTCCCTTGCGAATACCTGTTAAAGACAATATAATGAAATGACAGAGTATTTGTGGCCAGTCCGTATTCGAATATTCAAATGTGACCCAATTTGGAAGTACAGGGATCACAAAAATGTGAAACTACTGTAATGTTCTAGAGCTAAAGTAGGTCTCTAATAAAAGAAAAAGAGTAAAAACTCTATTACACTGAAGGACAAAGCCTATGATCGAGACCAGGTCCCACTAACAGGTACGCAATATCAGAACTAAAATATTCATTATTCAGTTTAGATGGGGAAGCAGGCAACCATTATTGTTTAAACTACAAAATGTCATTTGAGACTGTGGCTAACACAGAACTCTGGCTGATTTCTATGAATGAAAATAAATCAGCCAGACTTAAGTGTTATAGATTTGAGAAATTATATATTTATTGTTCACCAAGTGACTAGCATCCCTCTCAAGTTGGAGGTGGCTCGTAAGTTCTCCACACATAACTACTGACACTGCATTGTAAACAATTGTTAGAATCTAACTTTCTTGCTTTCTCCCACCCCACTATCCAAAAAACAAAAAATTTCGTTAATATGCTCCAGAGCAGTCATGCAGTAATAATGAGGTGGCTAAAATATACCTAATTAACATCAAAAATACAACTTCTTAGATTTCTGGCTTTCCACAATACAAGGATGACGTCAATGGTGGGGAACTGTTGAAGAAGATACCAAGAGACAGGATTCATTCGCATTTGGAAGCGAATGGACTTGTTAGAGATAGGCAACATGAGTTTGCATGGGGAAGGTCATGTCTTACCAACTTGATTTGAGCTTTTTCGGGAGGTGACAAGATTGGTTGATGAGGGAAGGGCAGTGAATGTTGTCTACGCAGAATTTATTAAGGCATTTGATAAGGTACTTCATAGCAGGCTAGTACAGAAGGTAGTCTCATGGGATTCGGGGGTAAGCTGGCTAGATGGATACAAAACTGGCTTGGTCACAGAAGACAATAGTGGTGGAAGGGTGCTTTTTGGAATGGAGATCAGTAATTGGAAGGTTCTAAACATGGGTCACGACTTAAAATGTCTACTTTCTCTCCACAAATCCAGCAGACCTGCTCAGCTTCTCCAGCAAATTGTTTTTTGTTTCAGACTTTCAGCATCCGCAATTTTGATTTACTCATTGGAACCATGCTGGCCTTGGTAATTCATGCAACTAAAGTTGTAGATAGGGCTTTAAATTCATTAGTTGAGGGATTGGCAGGACCAATCAAATGGAAGTTTTAAAAATCAAAGAAACGTACAGCCATGGGCACAGGGTAACAGAGGTGAATGATATTAAAATGTGACAGGAAGGGGCAGAAAATAAGCAGAAAAAGACAACAGAGATTAGAACCAGAAAAAATAAATAATGCTAAGAAGTCAAAGCTTAAGAAGCTGAATGCATGCAGCATTTTTATCAACATAGATGAATCGAAAGCATAAAACAGTATTCATGAATTTGACTTGTTAACTATTAGAGAAATGGTTGCAAGGCCACCAGGACTCAAAGTCCAATCAAGGATATTCGATGTTCTGGAAAAATAGGTAGGGTTAATAAAGGAAGATCAATTTAGTGAGTGAATTAACTTTGGATGGCAATAAGCAATAGTAAAAAGGAAAGAAGTCATGGGTGGAAGTTGTTTATAAACCCCTGAATAGATACTCTCAAGAAAAGCAGTACCAATGTCATGTGATTTTAATCTGTATATTGAATGGACAAATCAGATGGGGAAGGGTAACAAGGAAGACAAGTGCATCAGGGATTGTGTTTTTAGAAAAGTACGTTGTACAACCTACCTGATTACTAAATCTAAAATAGTCTTATGTGGTCGTTGATTTATTTGCCGAGCTGGTAGGTTGGTTTGCAGATGTTTCATGACCATACTGGGTAACATCACCAGTCCGCCTCTGATGAAGCATTGTTAGTCCATCCTGCTCGTTGTTTACGTGGTCCAGTCTGATGCGGTGGTTGGTCTCATTTCTGGTTCTGCTTTGCAGTGGTTGGTACATGGGGTCTATTTCCACATGTTTGTTGGAGTTCTGGGTTGAGTACCAGGCCTCTAGGAAATCCTGTGCGTGTCTTTGGTTGGCTCGTCCTAGGACGGTTACGTTGTCGCAGTCAAATTGGTGGCTTTCCTTGTCCAGGCGTATGGAAACGAGCCATAATTGGTCATGTCTCTCGGTAGCTAGTTGGTACACCAACATACAGACTGGCTAAAGAATTACAATGGAAACTAACACACCTAGTAAGTGGCATAACCCACTCAGCCCAAGAATTCCTCAATAACAAAGACACCAGAATTGATGAGGATGAAATTATGATCTGCTTTCACGTGACAGCGCTGGTTACTTCGATCGACATCCCCCTAGCTAAGGAAACACTGGCCTCGTTACTAGGTGAGCCAGCAACACTGACCCCCTGCAACACCAACACCCTCAAACTACTACATTTATGCCTCACGACACACTTTGTCTTCAACAGCCAAGTATACAAACAAAATCATAGAATCCCTAGTGTGGAAACAGGCTATTTGGCCCAGCAAGTCCACATGGCCCCTCCAAAGAGCATCCCACCCAGACCCAATCCCCTACCCCAGCATTTCCCATGTCTAATCCACCCAACCTAAACATCCCTGGGCACTATGGGCAATTTAGCACAGCCAATCCACCGACTGCACATCTTTGGACTGTGGGAGGAAACCCACACAGACATGGGGAGAATGTGCAAACTCCACACAGACGGTCGCCTGAGGCTGGAATCAAACCCGGATCCTTGGTGCTGAGAGACAGCAGTTCTAACCACTGAGCCACCGTGCCGTGTCAACAGAACACCTGTGGGATCACCCATTTCAGGACTTTCAGCTGAAGCAGTAACGCAAACTAGAACAGACAGCCCTTCCCACTAACCAGGCCTGCAACAGAACTGTTGGCCAGGGATCATGGTGGTGTTCTGAAGTGGACAGTTTTGAGGTCCCCTGCTGAAAATGGCATCATCAGAACAGATGCCACGGAGATAGAGAAACTAGAAGAATAGATTGGAGTCCTTACTGAAAGCAGGGCATGAGCACATATAATTGAGATAACTGTGGGAGTTGGTGGGTTTGCAGTGTGTACTGGTGCTCAGCCTAACCTCAGAAATAGAAACAGATGTTGAGGAAGTGAAGTGGTGAGTTGGAGACGGATCAGGTAAAGATGAGGGCAGGGTGGAAATTAGGAGCGAAATTGATAAATTTTTCCAGTTCAGAACATAAGAGGAAAGCAGCATCTATGATGTCATGAAAAGTCAAGATTATCTCTTTATTAAACCAAAGAACATCCTCCTCCAAAGAATGACACAGTCTCTGGTAAACCTTAATCTTAAGTAGACACCAAGAAAGTTTAAATTCTTTCCAAATATCAAAGTGCAAACCAATTTTGGTACATTAATGAACATCGTTCCCATGAATAGGATAAAACAAATCATTAACATTGTAACCCACATGCATCAAAGAGGTACATAAGATCTCTCCTTTAGCAGTTAATCATATCTGTTCAACTCAGACTATACAGGGAGGGTATCTGACCTCTGACAACAGTACTCGTCACCCACTTCACCTTCCTTCAGACAGGCATTTTTCAACTTCAACACAGCTCCAGCTGGTAAGCCAACAGCCTAAATCCTCCACTGAAGAATTAAGTATTCAATAACCATAACTACAGCCATAATGTTTATTACCTATTCAGTTGACACTTAAAACTTTCAAATAAACGGAACTCTACTACGCATACTCAACAGTTTTCCAAGCAGATTGAAGCCTCATTTGTTAGCTTAACATTGGGGGAAATGAGACAATAAATTGTTGAGAGCCATTGACATCCTGGTGTAACGTCCTAACACCATAACATATAGGAGCAGATATAGGCCATTTAACCCATCGAGTCTGCTCTGCCATTCGCTCATGGATAATTTCTCAACTCCATTCTCCTGCCTTCTACTAGGCTCAGTTTCCTGACGTGCAATACCACAGAAGGTCAATTTGTAATTTTTAAGTATACGGATGTATTTTGACAGAAAGAAATTTCATTTCCTTACTATATAACTGTTTAAAGAAACAGGCTTTAAAGTTGACAATGTCACAACACTTCATCCTGACTCACTACCAAGTACTTCATAGGGGCATTATAATTCCAGGTTTGACTATGAAGCAAAAGATTTGGACCAAATGTTTTGTCAAAGATTATGTTTTTAAGGTGAGAGGGAAGTAGAGAGCCAGAGAGGTTTAACAAGGGTAATGCTGAGTCTATGGTCTAAGCAGCTGAAACTTGGCGATGTGATGGAGCAATTAAAATTGAAGATGCGCAAGAGATCATAATTAGAGGAAGTCATAGAGGTAGGAGGATCAAGGCTGTGGAGGGACATGAAAACAAGGACTAGAAAACTGAAAACAAGAATTCTAAAACAGAAGAAGTGACATAATTGGGGTTGATCAAGAAGTACAAGAAAAACATGTCAATAGGCCTGGATGTGCACTACAGCAGGGGCAAGCAGGAGTTTAGATCACCGCAAATTTAAGGAGGCAAACCTCTTTTGGAATGCTTAGGTTTGGAGGTAACAAAAGCACAAACGAGGGCTTCATTAGTTGTGCCAAGAGCAGACTCAGGTGAGATGACAGAAGTCCTAGTAATGAAATGGATGTGTGGTCAGAACTTTACCTTGGGGTCAGTTAATGACATGAAGGCAGTGGGCAATCTCATTCAACCATAAACAGTTGTTAGGAAAAATGGGGTGGAATCAGTGGCTAGAAAACAAAGTGCCAGAACTTACCTCCAACCTGCTGACTGTTTCCTCATTGCCCACAACTTCATTCAGTTTCAGTGGTCTGTATTTCTCAACCCTGTTTGAAACAGAAAAATGATTCTTTAAATCTAAGGTTACATATTTTAAAAATAGATCATGTCATAATAACTTGCATTAAAGACACTTCACAATAAGGCAAGCTGAGAGATGGCCAAGAAACTGGAAGAAAAATGGTGTTAGGAAAGCTTGTTAAAGAAAGAGTACAGGGTGAACAGAAAAAGGTTTGGATAGGAAATGACATAATATGGTTTTGCTTGGATGGCTCAAGGAGAGGAAATGGGGGTGCAAACACAATGAAACTCAAAAAATAGTGATACACAGATGTGCTGCAGAGGTCAAGTACAAGACAGGAACAGGAAAGCGCTATTTGAGCTTACTCTGCCACCAGATCATGGCTGCTTTGCACCTCAACTTCACTGACCCTGTCCTGTTTGCATGACCCTCAATATCATTGCTGAACAAAAAAACATGAATCTCAGTTTTGTAATTTTCACTTGGTTAAGTATCAGTTTCAGGGATATTTCCATTACCCTTTGAGTGAAAACATTCTTCTCGAATGCAGTATTCTCCACTTGCCTGGATCAGAGCAGCTCCAACGGCACCCCAGACGTTTGAGACTTGCTCACAGAGCCAGTGTATTTCATTGCAGACATTTCATCACCCTCTAGGTAACATCATCAGCGCACCTCGGGTGAAGCATCGGTGTTCTGTCCCGTTTGACATTTATATACCTCAGTTTGCTGGGGTGGTTGGCATTACTTCTGGTTCTGTTTTTCAGTGGTTTGTATATCGGGTTCAGTTCAATGTGTTTGTTGACAGAGTTCCGGTTGGAATGCCAGGCCTTCGGGAATACCCTGGTATGTCTCTGTTTGGCTTGTGCTATCATGGATATGTTGCCCCAGTCAATTAGTGTCCTTTTTCCGTGTGTATTGAAACCAGTGAGAATTGGTCGTGTCTCTTGGTGGCTAGTTGGTGTTCGCGTATCCTTATTGTCAGCTTTCTTCCAGTTTGGCCTATGTAATGTTTCTCACAGTCCTTGCATGTTATTTTGTATATTACATTAGTTTTATTGGTTGTGGGTATGGGGTGCTTTATGTTCGTCAGTAGCTGTCGCAGGTTGGTTGTTGGTTTGTGGGCTGCCCTGATACCTAGGAGTCTGAGTAAAAGGACTCCATACCCACAACCAATAAAACTAATGTAATATACAAAATACCATGCAAGGACTGTGAGAAACATTACATAGGCCAAACTAGAAGAAAACTGACAATAAGGACACATGAACACCAACTAGCCACCAAGACACACGACCAATTCTCAATGGTCTCAATACACACGGACAAAAAAAGGACACAAATTGACTGGGACAACACATCCATTATTGCACAAGCCAAACAGAGACATGCCAGGGTATTCCCGGAGGCCTGGCATTCCAACTGGAACTCCAAACACATTGAATTAGACCCGGTGTACAAACCGCTGAAAAAAACAGAACCAGAAGTAATGCCAACCACCCCAGCAAACTGAGGCATATAAATAACAAGCAGGACAGAACACCAACGCTTCACTGCAGGCGCACTGATGATGTTACCAAGCAGGGTGATGAAACATCTGCAATCAAGCTCGGTGAGCAAGTCTGCAACCTCATCCGTGACCCGAGCTACAAACCTTCTCAGTAGTTTTAAGCACTCAAGAAGCTTGACACCAACCAGAACAAAGCAGCTCACTTAATTGGTGCCCCACATCCACTACATCTTAAACAGTTCACTCCCTGCACCAATGATTCACTTTCATTCAGTGACTACTATTTTACAAGATACACGGCTGCAATTCACCACCGCTTTGAATTAGATGGTGCTGTCAATCTCTATCACTAAGTGGGAGAATTAACAATGGCAACATCATTGAATATCAAGGAGTGGTGGCTGGATTCCCCTTTTGGAGGGTCATTGCTTACATGGGAGGTTCAAGTATTAGTTGCCACTTGTCAGTTCACGCCTGCATGATGGTGCATAGGAAGACAAAGTGCTACAGCTGGTTGTGCATACTGCTTTCAGCATCTTACGATTGTTTTTTTTTCCCGGTGCCAGCTTATTACAAGCTAGTCAATTCATAAAGCTGTCACTGTGCAGAAGGGAGGCCATTCAGGCCACTGTCTGCACTGGTTAGTCCTATCTCCCTTAAAATTTCAAACCCTTGCAAGTGCTTCTTTATAAAGTAGATTAAATAGTAGATACTGTTTAACCTGGTTCCAAGAAATATTCAGACAAGACATTAGACACCGCAACTCCCTGTAATAAAAGTAAAAACTCATCTCTAATTTGACTATTCTACCCATCACTTCAGTTCTCTCTCTCTTAGTTATTGATTTGCCTGCCAGGGGTATCGGCTTATCTTAGTGACGGCATTAAAAAGTGAGAAGTTGAAAACGGTATGTACAATAAAAAGCGAAAGAACTGTGGATGCTGTAAATCAGAAACAGACATTGCTGAAAAAGCTCAGCATGTCCGGCAGCATTCGCGAAGAGAAATCAGAGTTAACGTGTCGGGTCCGCGGAAGTTCTGAGGAAACATTAACTTTGATTGCTCTTCACAGGTACTGCCAGAGTTGCTGAACTTTTCCAGCAATTTCTGTTTTTAATAAGTGTACTCATGCTGACAAGAGACATGAACGAACACAACGTAGCAGTGGGGATGTAAAATTGCTCCGGGGGAGGCGGGGGGGGGGGGAAGCTGGGGAGTAGGGGAGAAGAGGAGAAAAGGGGGTAGAAGAGAAAAGGGAGAGGGAAAAGGGAGAGGGGGGAAAGGAGGTAGAGGGAAAAGGAAAGGGGATGGGGATGGTTGGACGGGAATGGGGGTACATCTCAGACTCACTCACCAGGGCAATTCATACGCAGCCGGCACCGTTCGCCCGGCAGCACTGGAAGCCGAAGCCCTGTGCTCCTTAAGCTCCGGGGCCTCACCATCCCCTGTTGTATGTACCAGGCCCAGGCTCGTGTCGCTCTCACCCTCCACCGCCGTCTCCATGGTTTTCACCGCTTCCCGCGCACTCATCTCTACGTCAGGGAAGGGGCAGGCCGAATGTCAACACCTCCTCTCTTTGATCAAAACCTCGGAAAATGAAGCATTTTGTTAAAAACACAATTCTCGAATTATCAACGCACATTAAACATTGAGCCGCTCGTGCCGAGCGGAAGATTAGCTGATGTTTCTGCCGTTTAACCGTCCCGCCAACGACACCCAGCAAGCTACCAAGAGTCTCCCCTGTTGCCGCCACCTGGCTGGAGATGGTCCTCCAAGGCTCCGGTCCTCCAAGGGCAGCCAGCCTGACGTGCGCGCGCAGTGTCGCTCTGCCGCCCGTGTTAGGCAGAAGGCGGTTGGAAGCTGAAGTGAAAGGGTGGGGGGAAGTGGCATTTAACGATCGTCACTTTGTTCCCCAACTCCAACACCCTTTTCACAGTCCCACTGCTGATCCGTCACTTTTCTTCGCCGCCCTCCTCCCCCAGTTTTGCCCTCTCTCTGAAATTAAACGTCTTTGCTGATGAAACAAAGTAAGCAAAAGTTTTCGATCAAAGGACGAGAGAAGCCGAGACGGTAAGTAGCAAGGTGCTAGCTGTCTTGTATATCTCTGTGTCTGTTGGTGTTTAAAGGAAGTTTAACCAGCAACATAGGGAGTGCCTAAAGTGCATTCGCTACCGTTCACCACCCCCACCAAAACTTTTTCAAACTACTAGCTTTAATTTGAAAATACTCCAGAAGTTTTCCTTTCCTACTATCCTGTTACTTTTTGTACCAAAATTTCAGGGGGAGGATTTCTGGGTTTCATGAAGGAAGCGCCTGAATTCTTCCAACAATCTCGTCCTGTTCTTTGCATTTGAAACTACCGTCAAAGCCATTATACTTTTTTCTTAAATGCCCACGGAGCCGCCTTCCCTGAGTAAGAAACTAATACCTGCCACCTGCACCCAGTCTTTATCACTTTTGTTATCCTCCTGACAAGTAGTCGAGGTGTCAAATAGCACTGCCTTCCGCCAATTGTTCAACTTCAGTTGAAGATAAACTCTTTTTTACCATAGAAGCCCTAGAAGGTACTTGCTTTCAACTGTGTAAAGTAGGTGTGCTTGTTGGCACTTTTAACCATGTATTTAAAAGATTTCAAAGGAATTTGCTTCTATTATTTGGTTCAGATGCGCAAAACACTTAAGTGTAAAGTCCAGAGGGATTAAATTTCATTTGGCAGGATGTCAGAATATACTGGTTGCAAACATTTTGTTGATCAGCTTTGTCTTGTGAAAATTGTTGCATTGTATTTCAAAATTCACTCATTTAGTGGCAAAGTCTAGGTTTAACCAATTAAACATCTTGAAATATAGTACCTGATGTTTGTAATTTATCTCGCAAAATACAGGCGTTCTTGGTATGTTACTTGATTTGACCAGTTTTGAATTTCAAGTTTTATGTTGTGTATTTCCTGAAGTTGATCTGACCAGTGGCTTCACAATTAGGAATTTGCTTTCAAGATGCAAAGTCTACAGATATGATAGCATAGCATAGAAAGGAAAGTGGTCAGGGTGGGGGTGCAGTGGAGGAGAGCACCCTTTTGTATAAAGATGAACTGATTTTAAAATTTGAGGTGGAGTCACAAACAAATTTAAGTTGCTTTGTAGTATAGTGTACTTTGAAAAATAATTTTGCTTCAATCTTTCGGTGCAAACCTAAAACACATGGATCTTTTTAGAAGGCTGAAGCTGAAAGTACTTTTCTTGGGTAGTCTATTTCTCTGAATCTTGACCAGCTGTCTAGCCCAAGCTGACTTAAGTCTCACTTAGCATTCCTTTTCAGGGACTGACCCTGAACATACTTGGTTTTTCCCTTTGCTCCCCCGCCAGGTTCATGAAAAGGTGGAGGAGTGGTCGATGGCATTACTAATTTCTCTCAAAACCAGCCGAATTGTCTGTTTTCAAAATCACAATTAACAGTGGCAAAGTGTTATATAATTTGACCAGCTCTATTTAAGAACATTTTCAAAACACCCTTATCAATTGTTCTACCTTACTTTCTATTAGAAATAGTGTACAACTGCTTACCTTTCCATGACCTTTAGTATCTTGACAACATCTGTCAGGACACATTATTGCTTCTTCGTTCCTTCTTTTGGGCAGGGAGAGCCCAGATTTAATTCTGATTCATTAGTTAGTGGATACTACAGAGATACTGTATTGCATTTCATTCCCAGGTCTTGGAGCTAAGGTTTCCACTCTGATTATTCTTGTGTGACTCCTACTGGAAGTGTATGTTTTCAGGTGGCAGCCAAGGAAGACTTGACTTGGCCCTGGTGCCCTGTATAGTTAAATGTCTTGTTGAGGCTAAATATCTAAAATCATGCCCAAATAATCATTTGCGTAATATGCATCAAGGTATATCGGATGCCAGTAGAACCTTTCTCCATCAAGGATTTAAACCTTCAAGAGACTAAAGATGAGAGTAAATATGAATAAAAGGTGACATTGGCAAAGTAGGAAAGGGATAAGATGGAACAGTTCCTCTCCTTCTCCCAACCCGTTCCAACACATAACACACAAACAGACAGACACACACTCATCTTCCCCCTCCCCCACATATAGAATTGTCTCATTTGCATGTAACTTATAGTAATGTTTACTAATCAGTTCAAAATTATTGCATGCCACGCTTTAAACAGCCTTTTTTATTGCTGATGCAGTGCAATTTCTAGAGACACAAGTTGCATTTGATTGTTTTACAGTACATTCAAGTACATTTCAAGATTTAGCTGGCTTTCTTTAGTTACAGCAGATGTTCAGGCATCTCTTCAGATTTCTAAGTCTCCTCCTGATGCGTCTTCTGCTCCCATCCCCACCCCACTTATCTGTAGTTGTTTTCGGCCATGCCTTTAGCAGCCTGGAGTCTATTCTCTGGAATTCCCTTTATGATCCTTCTTGTAATTCACTTTTTTTGGGCCAAGGTTTTGATTACCCCATCTAATATTTCCTATTTTCATGCGACAATTTTACTTAGGGACTGGGAAGCATCTTTGGCTTATTTTTGGGTCAAAGACACCATTTTATTCGAGGTTTCTCACTGGCATATTTCCTGTTTTAGGTTCTGTTGTCATCCTTTTTGGTGATTATTACCTCAACATGGAAACTACCTACAGAAACATTACAAAGGGGAATTTCCAATATAAGCAGTTGCTGAAAGTCTTATAGAGTCATACAGTACGGAAACAGATTCTTTGGTTTAACCAGTCCGTGCTGAACGTAATCACAATCTAAACTAGTCCTACCTGTCTGCTCCTGGCCCATACACCTCCAAACCTTTGCGATTCATGTACTTATCCAAATGTTCTTTTAAATGTTGTAACTGTGCCCACATCCACCACTTCCTCAGGAAGTTCATTCCACATGTGAACCACCCTCTTCATTTAACATAGTTGTTCCCGTATAGGCTTTTAAAGAAAATTAAGCCCGTATAGAATGCACAATAAAAATTATTAAATTGTCCATTGAGCTTGCTTTTGTTCTTAATGGCTTACTTTTTTAAAAAAAAAAGTTGTATCATACTTTATTCACTGAAACAAACCAAATGTTTGAAATACTCAGTAGGTCTGTTGGCATCTATGGGGAAACCATTAACATTTTGGGGTGGCATGGTGGCTCAGTGGTTAGCACTGCTGCCTCTCAGCTCCAGTGACCCGGGTTCGATTCCACCCTTGAGTGACTGTCTGTGTGGAGTTTGCACTTTCTCCCTGTGTCTGCATGGGCTTCCTCCAGGTGCTCCGGTTCCTCCCACGGTCGAAAAATGTGCAGGCTAGGTGGATTGGCCATGCTAAATTGCCCATAGTGTCCACGGATATGTAGATTAGGTGGTTTATAGGGGGATGGGTCTGGGTGAGATGCTCGGAGGGTCGGTGTGGACTTGTTGGGCTGGAGGGCCTGTTTCCACACTGCAAGGATTCTATGATCGTCCTATAGAAATAATTTCAGGTTGATGTCCTTTCTTGAGAACATCTGTTAATCCAAAATGTTATTTTAATATTTCCAATGTCCATCGTATTTTGCTTTTATTTCTCTGAAACAATTTTTGCCCAGCAATATCTGAACAACACAGCCTTCGGTTGTTTAGTTGCAAGTAATATTAGTGCCACAAAGTGTAGGAAATAATTATCTCCAACCAGAGAGAATCTAAACATCTCATTTTGATATCAATGGCCTGAAAATTGCTGAAACCTCCACCATCGTTGTTCTGCTGGTTTACAGCTCTCAGAAACTGAACTGGACTAGCTGTATAATTATTGTGGCCTCAAGACCAAGTCAGAGGCTAGGAATTCGCCAGCATGTAACTCTCTTCCTGACTCTCCAGTGCTTGCTCACCATCTACAAGTCAAGAGTGTGATGAAATACTCTTCTCTTGCTTGGATGAGTGCCTCTCAACAATAGTTAAGAAGTTTGATACTGCAGTGAAAAGCAGTTGGCTTGGTTGGCACCCCATCCACCAGCTTCAACATTTACTCCCTCCACTACTGGTACACTGACAACAATGGGTGCCATCCACAAGTTGCATTGAAGTACTGTAACTTGCCAATGCTGTTCTGAAAGCACCTGCTAATTCCACAATGTCTATCACTGAGAAGAGCAAGGGCAGTTGGCACACAGGAATACCATCACCTGCAAGTTCCTGTTCAGTCTTGTACCATTGTTTGTTCTCTGTTACGGGATCAAAATCCTGGAAGCCTGTAACAGCGCTGTGGTGTACATAGACTACTGAGTTCAAGAAGGCAGCTCACCACTACCTCCTTGAGAGCAATTGGGAATGGCCAAGAATGCTGGTTTGCCAGCAATGCTCACTTCTATGGGCATTTTTTTTAAAAGAATTGAGACATCAATTGTAAAAGTGATATTATTTTAGGATTGTAATCTTATTTGCAACAGCTATTAGAAATAGCAGTCATATTATCATCTTTTCCCATTAAGTGGTAATATTATGGTGTGTAATTACAGATCACTATCCCAAAGGTGAGGTGAAGACTGCTGTCAGTTCAGGTGAGTGTGTACAGCTCAGTCTGAGCCTCAGAAATAGACATTGTTCAGTCGAACTGGGTAATTATGGGTCCATTGCAGCCTTCATTGGGTGAAATGATATATGTGGGGTGTAGACTTATGCAATCTGTACTCTCAGCAGAACTGCTGGTCTCAGTACCTGAGATTTTTGGAGAAATGGACAATCTCAGGAAGGCAGTAATCATAAATCAATTGGTACTTTTTATTCATTCTTGCATGATATGTGGGCGATGCTGGCAAGGCAGACATTTATTTCCCATCCCGAATTGCCCTTGAGCTGATTGGCTGCCTTAGACAAAATCAGGTCTCAAACACATTGCTATAGATCTGGAATCACATGTAGGCTAGACTGGCTAAGGATGGCAGATTTTCTTCCCTAAAGGGCATTAGTGAATTAGCTGAGTTTTTATGATGATGGTCACTGTTGGACAAGCCTTTAATTCTGAACTTTATTGAGTTCAAATTCCACCATGTTCCCAGAGTATTTGCCTGACGTTCTGGATTAATCGTCTAGTG